TTATGCTTGTGGGAAGCAGTCCGCATGTAAGTGTTTTCTTGGTGCAGGGTTGTTTTGGAAGGTCGGTGATGGCAACCGGTGGTTGTTAATCAGTGCTATAAGTGGGGGAGAATTGGAGAACACTCTGGGAGATCGATGAGTATTTGAGGGTGCTTAGCTGTTGGGATTCAGCAGTGTTCTGTCAGCCCAGAGTATAGGCTGATAGGAGCGAGTGTCGGGCATGCAGGGTGGGATTCAGACCTAGGGCATTTGGTTGTGGAGGCCTGGGAGCAGGCCGGGATCGAGTATGTTTGATGGAACTAGAGTTCGAAACCCCTAGAGGGCTAGAACGGTATGCATGGGAGGATTTTCGGGGGTGATAGCCCGGAATGATGAATGCTAGTTGAACGATCCAGAATGGGATGAAAGCCTGGTAAGACGGTCCAGTCATGCTGAAGACTCTGCAGGTATTGTTGGATCAGTTTGAGGATATGGATTGGGTATGTCGCAGTGTGTTTGCATTAGAAGGTCTGGCCCCGGGTAGTGATCTTGATGAGTTGAGAAAGTGCATGGGCTTGAGAGTCCCTGCGATGAGAGTCAGAGTATGTGTGTTGGATGGATAGCGGATACGCTATGAAAGGGTGGTGTAGCGTTGAGCGAGCACCGCGGCACGTGTCAGAGTGATAATGTGGTCGAGTGGTTTCCTTGGTAAAGGAAGAGAGAGTGAGGTGTAACTCCGAGAGGGAGTGCAAGTTCACGGAAGGGAAAGCGGTAGAGCAGAGTTATGATTTGAGTGATTTGAGTATGGTTTTTGAGCAGCATGTTTGCGGCAGTGGAATAGAAGCTCATCCGGTTTGGGATGTCTGCTGAGGCCGCGGAGGGAATTCCGCAAGTGTAGAGCCAAGAGGTTCGGAAGGGATGTAGGGAGAGAGTCTTGGACTCTCAGTGTGATTCTGATCAGAGTATTGGGTATGTATTAGTGGTTTATCCTGGGGATGTTTGAGGATAATATCAGTGTATCAGGTTTACCCAACCTGAGGGTGTTAGAACTAGTTCAGCATGTGTATGCGGTTGCAAGGGGAGAACTCGTGAGAGTTGCTCTGAGATTGAGAATGGGTCTCTCAGTTGTCCCGGAATGGATAGAGGGGATTTGGATCGGGAATCATATGGTTCATGGTTTTCTAGCCCTTATGGGTCGAGTGATTGTTGAAGATTTGGGGCAGTGATGCACCTTGGGTAATTTTCGGTTATTGAGTGTGATTATCAGAGGGTACAGTCGGTGCCCGGTTCGAGACGGTGGTCAGGACACCGTAAGGGAAGGGAAAGTGTGTTCGAGTTTCGACGGGTATGCCTTGTGGGACCTGGTCCGGTTAAGGCCAGGTGGCGCGTTGTGGGAATATCTTTGGAGTTGTATTGTTGTAGGCTTCGAGGGCGAAGCCTAATTTAAGTGGGGAAGAATTGTAACATCCCGAAATAGCAAGAGTGAGTTGAAGGGCTAAAAGTGTAATTTGGGAAAGAGTGACTCGGCGAGTCCATGGATGGACTCGGCGAGTAGAGTCGCGACTTGGTCACGTGTTAAATAGCCGACTCGGCGAGTCAATGAGATGGACTCGGCGAGTAGGCGCTGAGTGGAGAAAACCCTAATTCTCGGGGTTGAGCCCTATATAAAGAGCATTATGATTCCACTCCAGCCTCTTTATCACCCCCTTGAGTCCATGAAACCCTAAAATCGTGGAGAAGCACCATTGTTGAGTGGATTGGAGCTTGGAGAAGTAATTGTTGAAGAAAGTTTGGAAAATTGAAGGTGTGGAGCAAGGGGCTTTGCTTGGATTCGAGTTCCTTGCAGATTGGGGCGTTCCTTTGAGGTAATATCTCGTTCTTAGGCTGTTGTTCTCTTGTCTCTTCATTTTGGGGTTTGAGGGAAGCTTATCTTGGGTGATATTGGAATCTAGAGGTTAGATCTGAGGTTGCTACCTCAGATCTGGAATAGAGGAGAGTTGGAATGCAGGAAAGTCCCCGTGTTGAGTGTTGAATGAAGCTATCTTGTCCCAAACCTTAGCCCTAATGTGCAAAATGCATAGATCTCTTTGGATTCACGTAAAGATTGCCACTTTACGTGATGGATAAGTTGTAGGAGGCTAGATCTATGTTTTGGATCAATTGCATGGTCTGGAACGCTTCTGTTTGGATGCAGACCGGTGGTACTCGGCGAGTCACATGGGTGGACTTGACGAGTTGCTTGAAGATAAGTTGGAACTCGACGAGTTAGATGATCAACTCGGCGAGTAGATTGAAGATAGCCTTAGACTCGGCGAGTCTGTTCTTGGACTCGGCGAGTCTTGTCGAAGAGTCCAAATATTTTCTGGTTGAGTCGAGAACCGGCGAGTCAAGGGATGACTCAGTGAGTTATGTGCGAGTGGACTTAGAGTTGTTGGACTCGGCGAGTCTTGGGGTGACTCGGTGAGTTAGGTCGCGGGTTGAATGAAGTTTTGAGTATGGGAACTCGGCGAGTCATAGGGTTGACTCGGCGAGTAGGGTCAGTCAGGGGTTGACTTTGACCTAGTATTTGACCAAGGGTTGACTAGTGGTTTCCAGGGGTATTTTGGTAATTGTTGATTATGGTTTTGAGTTCAGTGCATTGGTGGCTGTCCAGTGGTGGAGATCGTATCACGGATCGGAGCAGCTTGGGTTATCTGTTCCGTCGGCAGTTCGAGGTGAGTTATCTTCACTATATCTATCGGGTTTAAGGCACCAAGGCCGACCCTTTTATCGGATGGAAATCCGGGTAACTGTCTGTTGTATGATATTGAGGGATATGGGCCGGAAGGCGTTACGTTATGGGCCGGAAGGCATTACATGTTGTGGGCCGGAAGGCAATGCGATGTGGACCGGAAGGTCATGGCCTGGAAAGGCGTACGTGCGTAATTATTATGTTGGCTGAGTCGTAGGGTGATGTTATGCTAGTGATCGGCTAGGCTGGTATCTTGGTTAGGGTAATGATATGTTATGTGATTTGTTGATCGAGTTGCTAACTGTGAACTGTTATATGATTATATGTGATGTGCATGGTTGTCTGGTCTGGAGTGTAACCCGGTATGCATGGTTGTTATATGTTCTGTCATGATATGTATGTTTTTTATGTTGCGGGCCGGAAGGCGATATGTTAGGGGCCGGAAGGCATTACGCTATGGGCCGGAAGGCGATATGTTTTAGACCGGAAGGTTATGGCCTGGAAGGGCGTATATGTGGTTGGTATTTTGGGGTATCTCACTAAGCTTTCGGGCTTACAGTTGTGGTTTTTATGTTTTTAGGTTCTCAGGAGTCTGTGGCAAGGCAAAGGCGTGATCGTACCGTTCCTCGCGTTGGTGTTTTATGAAATGGACATGGGAAATACTCTGTTAAATAATGTATTGAAAACCCTTTTTGTAACAACATTATTAAAATAGATTGTTTTTGAAACATTTTAATTGTTTTGAAATTTGGTCGTTACAGTATAGACATGAGACATGGATTGAAATCATTCTCTCAGTCTATGTGTTGTTTTCCGATTTCCGATTTACGACAACTGACTAATTGAACAAATCAAATTAGCCCTAGCCCGACCGAGCATTTACGTTTGTCATCACTAAATCATCGATGACTGACTTCTCGTGTTAGTGATTGTTAGGATGAAAAAAGACAGCGGCTTGTATGGAGAATGGAGGTTGATGTTGGTGCTACAATGGAGCAAATAGTTCCTCTGCAGTCAGTCAGTTCATCCTGGATACAAGGCAAGATACTTGGTCGTGGGGGTTAGATACATCTAGATGCTTTTCAAGTAATTCTACTAGACAAGTTCTTGATGCAGTTACCCTCCTGTGGCGGAAATTACTTCACATTGGAATACATCTTTAACTATAAAGATAAATATTTTTATTTGGCGATTGTGTTTAAACAGGTTGTCATTTAGGTCCTCTTTGGATTTGAGAGAGGTTAAGCTTCCTTTAGTTCTTTGTCCTTGTTGTGTAGAGGTTCCAGGCGATTCATTTATTTTTTACAATGTGAGGTAGCGACACAACTTTAGAGTCGGGTTGCTAGATGGATTGATTTAGTGATTCCTTCTTTTTCATTTACTGTAGGAAGTGTTTCTTTGGGTTAACAACACTACAAACATGCTCGTCGTGTGTTGGTTGACATGATGATTTGCACTTTGATTTGGGTCTTATGGACTTACCGGAATGAGCTGGGTTTTGGAGATTCCAAACCAAAGAAGGAAATTTTGTTTGATTTCATTGTTTCTTTTTCTTTTAATTGGTTCTCGAAAAGGAATAAGAAGGGTTGCAAAAACTTGAATTAGAGGATGCAAAAACCCTATAATGTAATTTTCTCTTGTTGTTTTCTAGTTGCTTGGTAGTTCCTTAATACAATTTAGCCGTTTTTATAATCTATATATTAAATGGGTGTTTGGCAAAGCTTATTTGAAAAGATCTATTGACTTTTTGATTTATAACTTATTTGGTGAAATAAGGAATTTTTAATAAGGAGTAGGTTACTTATCACTTTTTGACTTATTAGAGGTTACCAACAGCTAATAGTTGTTTTTTACCCAAACACTTTTTTTGACTTCTACCAGTATCAAACCAATAATAAGTCAAAAAGCTCATCTTTTAAGCTTTGCCAAACACCCTCTAAGACTCCCGCCTATTATTCGTGTCACCGAATTAACGAATGTATTTGATTGCAATCAACAATAATGCAATCAACAATAATACTTGTTCAACTTGGCTAAACAAATTGTATACATGGTAAAAGCATACTTATCAACATAACAAATGGTACAAATAACAAGATTTTTGGCATTGATCACCATACCAAAACATTTATTGCAGCATATAGCATATAAATAAATATGTAATAAACACTAACTATGTTCTTTTGTTTCTCTTTGCTTTTTAAAGATATAATATATATGTTTTGTAAAGTCTAAAGCAGACGAGGTAGATGACAGGAATACCTAATTGTCCGATGAGCATCAAGAGCATTTAGTAAAGCAACATCAACTCTCTCCCTCTAAGATATATAGAATCATACAAGTGATGCGTGAAATTGGATAGATCTTCCTCATCATCATCATCCCAGATCAACGTCCCTCGACCTCCTGCTACACCCGGAGTGGGTGTCTCTCTCTCCATGGTCATGTCTTCCCATTCACTCCCTGGGCTCATGGGCCCCACTGTCATCACATCTTCATCTTCTAGGTCCTCCACCCCGATCTCAAATTTAACTCTCTCTAGTTCAGTTAAGTTGAAAGATCCATGGAATGATGTTAAGTGTGTTTGTGTTTCTTCTGGCTGTATTGAAGGGCAAATAACGGCTTTCGCACCCGAGTCTAGAAATGCCTTTATTAGAGCCGTCGTTGGCCCATATAGGCCCGTGATATTATAATTCTATCTCTCCAACCACCAACCTACAATAAAAAACCAAAACAAAACTACATTTTGTTATTCTAAGTAATTAAAATACATTTTTACAAGAAAAATAACCCAAAAAAGGCCAAAGTATAAATAAAGTAAGTCAGAATTGGAGTAAAACACACCCACCATCCAACGAACATCTGGTGGAGCCAAGTGCATAGAAGGAACAGTCCTACGAAACATGTAAGCTCCAAATTCTTGACCTTCTTCATTAACCTTCATATATATATCCACACAAATCGACATCATTATATTACAAGTTTCGGGAAGGGAATTCATGTCTTTTTTTTTGGACACATGAGACCGAGTTTCCAATGCATGTCAAACACAGTAGAAGGTGTTTTGTTTTGTGATGTTTTATGGGGTAAGGAATAAAAGAGACCTGAGTTTGGCGGCCTATGTATTGATGGACAACAACCCCGATCTGGAAGTAGGGCCTACAGGCAACCAAATCAGCAACGCAAGAGATGTTTGAAATGTCTGACATGTAACGCCTACGCCCCCCTTTCAACATCGACTGAAAACTATATTTCACTTTTTCCAGAAACTTCTCTGCCAGCTCACCCGGTTCAGCAACCACAAATACATCATTTTTCCAACTGCCCACAACATACACTATATATCTTTACTTATCTTATATCTCACTTAATTATTAACTGCCTAAAATTTTCTCTATACTGTATTGCTCATGTTAAAACAATTTAGCAATTTAAAAAAAAAAAAAATTGCTAAAAGGGTCAAACAAGTTAAAACTCACACATGGCGAGTGTTTACATTTTACAAACTAACCTCCTACTAAAGTTTACTTTAATAAAAAAATAATTAATTATTTTAATTTTTCAATAATGGCTTTTGTTGTTGCGTTACAAATATTTATTATTTACTAGATACAAAAACACAAAATAGACAAACAAGCCATTTTGACTGTTTTCTCAATCCACTCATATACAACGTTGTTGGGAAAGAGGTGAAACACATTTTTCTTTCTTTGGATAGTGTTTTTTATTTTCAAAAAAAAAAAAAAAAAAAAAATATCTAAAGAAAGAAAAATGCTCTCTTTTTTTTTTTCAGTACATATGCAACCCTATTTCACTGTAGGACCAAAATACTGTAATAAGACCTGTTACCTCATAATGCTACACACACACACCGATTGAATGCTTATTTATGCAACAAGATTTTACCTTTTTTTTTTTTACCAATTTATGCAACCAGACATGAATTATATACAACAACTTCAACCGGTTAACAAGTTAGCATGCAGCCAAATATTTGCATCTTAATTTTGGTGATAAATTGAAACACTTTTTTTTCACAAATTGGGTAAAAAAATAAAATCGAAACCTGGTTGCATAAATGAGTATTGAATCTATATTGGTTAATGAAGGAAGAAAGAATGAAAGAACCTTAAAATGGAGCCATTTGAATCATTTTGAAGAGCCAAGTGAACAACTCCAACCTGTGGTGAATTCTGTAACTTGTCATGTAGGTATCGAATCGGCTCTGAGAGCTTTCTTTAGTGTTGTTGGTGATTCTAAGGGGGTAGTGGATCACAACTTTTATCTGTAAAGTTTCCATCAAGACCTAAGTGGGGCCCGGGCCCAGTATCAGAACCAAAGAGACGTGAGCTTGATGGGAAGCTTGCAGTGAACAATGGTGATGATGTAGGTGGAGAGGGAGATGATGATGATGATGACGATGATGATGATGTCACATCCATGAGAAATATTTTTATTCCATTTCCTGAACAAAATGTCTCGAGTGATTGAATATGGCTGCTTAAGTTTTTTCGAGAATCAGGGGAATTTGAAGCCTTCACTAGTAGCACGTAGCGTCTCCAACCTAAACAAGGTCCATTTTCACCTGAAAATATTATATGCAAATCCAACCTTAAACATCATTCATCAGAGTTCTTACAAATAGAAAATGTAATGTAATTTATTATTATTATTATTGTATACAACAGTTAATGGGAAAAAGAAAAAAAACAAGATTTCATGCAGCAATCCAATTGTACCTATATTTAGGCGCCTTGGCTTGAGGAACTGAGGAGAGTTTAGAACGTCAGGGATTTTCCCATCCTTATAATTCTGCAACAATTTTTCACACACTTGTTTAAAAGCTGAAGAGTTGTTCTCAATATAATCATTAGTAGCTGCTTCCAATTTAAGCCATATGGTAGGATCAGTCTCATCCAACTCCATATCACAACGTTCATCCACTGTAAAACACACCACAAACACCAGTCTACTTTTATGGATTTCTTTATATATATATACATAAAGAAGAATTTAAAATGGAATAGATAATTAGAGAAAAGGTTATTGGACCTGGATTGAATCGAAAATACTGAATATCAGGAATCATGGTGAGCAATGTGCCTAACATATGTTCGATCCTCTCAACTGAACATGCACTTTCAACCAACACTTGGCCAGTATCCAAATAACGCCACCCACCTTTTCGAAGCTTGAAAAAAAAAGATGAATAAATATTTATTTATGTAAAGTATTGAAATTTGGTGTATTAATAATTACCTTAGTTGGAACAGAACAACAACCAACTGAAACTAAGGTGTCAATTTTTGCATCTGGCCATAACAGTTGTGCTTCTCGTATTGCAAAAATAGTAGGGTTGTTTGCAACAATCGCACCATCTTGCCACCGGAATATACCTAAAAATAATCACTTATTTATTTTAAGTCCAAACTTTTTACAAATTAATTTCTTCCATTCCCAAAGTGAGTGTGTCATGTCATCATCTCATGAAATACTATTTAAGTTTAAACAACATTTATTGAAACACACAGACAGACATCACTTAATAGGAGGTGTTAGTGATACTCATACCATCAGTGTAATCATCGAGATAATATGGAGCTGCAGATGATGCTCTAATAGCTTGCCATAAATGATGTCTACAGCTTCCCATATAAGCACCACGTTTGTATCCAATTTGAGCACCATTAGTTGTGTTACAGACCCCCCACTCGTTGCTGCTAAATTTTCTGCAATTGTCAAAGGAGCTTCTAGTGTCCCTGCAGGATACTTCACTTCCAATGTACAAATATTAATCACCAAAGAGTCAAAAATAGCAACCTACTTTCACTTATTTGTGTAATAATAAACAGATTAAAGAAAGTGTGTTGCTATTTCTTTCATTAATACTAAAAAAAGAAACATAGTGAAAACCTGATAGTTGCGGAATATAAA